AGTGACTAGGGAATTCTGGGAGTTGAAGTCCACCCATCTATAAGTGATTAGGGAATTCTGGGAGTTGAAGTCCACCCATCTAAAAGTGACTTAGGGAATTCTGGGAGTTGAAGTCCACCCATCAAAAAGCTGCTCGGGTTGAGAAATGCTGATTCACAGCTACTTGAGCTTCCTGACAAAACCAAAAGCCATTTTCCTGCATGCCCCCCTTGAATGCCTTTGGGGGGGCCCAGGGTTGCTTCGCAGGCAGAGGTCCAACCGATGGAGCTTCTTCTGCCTTAGGAAAAGCATACCCCACCCCGGTTGGGTTCCGGGTTGGCCCCCTCCCTCGGTTTGCGTCCAGTGTAGAACCCCGACGAACCCTCATCATCGCCTCAAGTGGCCCCCTCGGTAGCTCTAAATTCTCTCACTCTTTGGACAGAGAAGATGACATTAAACCCTCTGTAATAGCTGCCTTCCACCTCTTTTCCTCCCTGAACGCAGAAGAAGGTGTGGCCCCCCGGCCTACTCAGCCAAGCCCCGGGCCCCACAGGCAGCCAGGTAGGTCCTTCCTTCTCTCCCGCCCCCGGTCCAGGCCCCCCAGGCCACCGACCCTCGGTTTTGGGGGTGGGGGGGGTGAGCTGCTTGGACTCACCAGAACTGGACCGTGGTTGCACGGGTGTGTTTGCAGTGCAATGATTGCACAATGCATGCTGGAAATGGAGACCCCCCCCAAATGTGGACTGCCGTGCCTGAGTTCTTTCTTTGCTTTCTTTCTTTCCTTCCTTCCTTTCCTTCCTTCCTTCCTTCCTTTCTTTCCTTCTTTCTTTCTTGTTTCTTTCTTTCTTTTCTCTTTTGTCTTTCTCTTTCCTTCCTTCCTTCTCCCTCCCTCTTCTTCCTTCCTTCCCTTCCTTCCTTCCTTCCTTCCCTTCTTGTTTCTTTTCTTTCTTTGTCTTTCTCCTTCCTTCCTTCCTTCCTTCCTTCCTTCTCCCTCTCTCTTCTTCCTTCCTTCCTTCCTCTCTCCCCTTCCTTCCAGTAGTGGATTCCTACCTTGTTCGCTACCAGTTCGGTGTGTGTGTGTGTGTGTGTGCGCACACACCCCTAACGCACCAATCAGCTGAGAGGATGAAGAAACAAAAAGCTAGGAGTGACCCTCCCGTGCTTGTTGCTTCTTTTATCCTCTCAGCTGATCGTTGGAGGAATCGGTTCAGCCATACCAGTAGATTTTTTTACGACCAGTTCGGCCAAACCAGTCCAAATCAGTAGCATACAACCACTCCTTCCTTCCTTCCTTCCTTCCTTCCTTCCTTCCTTCCTTCCTTCC